GGGTTGTAAGCAGTGGGCCGTGATTGGTTGTAAGCAGTGGGCTGTGATTGGTTGCTTTTGGACCAATCATGAGGTGCCAGATATGCAAATTTGAGGGATTCTAGTGGCCAATCAGAGCAAGGTTTCAAAGGTCAGGTTTTTGGAAGGGAACCAGTCATGGGAATTGTTTGCTGTCTGAGAAACCTCAGCAGACTCGCTGGCTGACTTGGCGGCAGGTCTACATGGTAATTGTTTGCTGTCTGAGAAACCTCAGCAGACTCGCTGGCAGACTTGCTGGCAGACTCACTGGTGCGCAGCTTCCCACACTGGGGGGTGATTTCTTACTTTTTCTTTTACTGTCTCTCTCTCTCTGATGGGTGCATGTGTCCTGTGGCAAAAGTCTTTAAAAAAAATACTGCTGAGCGTTACCAAGTAAATATGCCTCTTTTTTTTTTTTTGGAGAGATCTCACTATAGGGTGCGTGTGCTCGCCAGAAAGACAGAGAGACAGAGAGACAGAAAGCGAGAAATCACCCCCCAGGGGGGATGGCCATACCACAATCCCTTCTCCTCCATTCTCCCCTTGGTATCTTGGGCACGCACGCACATGCGCCTGGTGTGAGTTTAACCACTAGGTCCGGGACTCGAACTGTGGTCAACTGCCTGGGAGTCCAGCAACATAACCATTATGCTAACTGCTGGTCCCTTGAATATGCCACTTTATAAGCATCCACGGTTGTGGAAGTATATCTGTAAAAAGTGAAATTAGAAGTGTTTGGTGAGTGTTTATGATTTTGTCAGATGTTGCCAAGTTGCAAGACAGTTTGCAATTTTGGCTTCTTTTTTTTAATCACCTTGTTAAAAGTAGCCACAGAGGCCCATCAGAACAGATATGTCAATTTCACATAGCCTTTTCCCAAATATAAGTAGGTAGAATGATTGAAGTAAGAGAATGAGTCCTCCAACTTGGTTCTTTCTCTAGATTGTTTTGGCTATTGGTGATTCCTCACATTTTCGTGGCCATACCCCAAGAGGAATGCTTTCTCCCTTTCCTTCTCTGTCTCTCTTTCTCTCTCCAATAAGTGTCTGCACCCTCTGACGATTTTTTTTTTTTTTTGAGATATTTTTGCGATAGGGCGTGTGCACTTACCAGAGAAAGACAGGGGGTCAGAAAGTGAGAAATCATCCCGTAGTAGAGATGGCCACACTGCAGTCCCTTCTTCATTCTCCTCTTGGGATTTTGGGCATGTGCACACACATGTGCCCAGCATGAGTTTCAAGCTCCTAGGTCTGGGACTTTAACAAGAGTCAGCCATGTGGGAGTACAGCGCTTTAACCACTGTGCCACTTGCTGGCCCCTGACAAATTTAAAAAGGAAAACTTGGGGTCCAGCAAATGGTGTGGTGGTTTGGGTGGCTAGATTCCCATTTGGGTGACTCTCATTCAAGTCCTGGATCCAGCAGCTTGAAACTCATGCCTGGCATGTGTGTGTGCATGACAGAAATCCAGAGAGGAGAATGAAAGAGAAAGGATTGTGGCATGGCCATCCCAGGGGGTGAGTTCTTGCTTTCTGTTCCCCCCCTCCATCTCTTCTCTGGTGAGCGCATATGTAGTATGGCAAAAATCTAAAAACAAAAAAACAGAAAACAAACAAAAAGAAAAACTTAAATATCATAAAGACATAGTGTAAGTTGTGCGCTTGAAACATTAGAGCTAATAAAGGAATAGCTCTCTTTTTATCTATAATAAATTATAGTTAAATTATAATTTTAGAACTATAATATTGATGAGACTGTTAGTAGGGCCAAAATGATTATATTTTATAGTATGTTATGTATAGTTTCTTTTTATTTATTACATATGATGATCATTCACCTCTAACTTTACTTTTTTTTTTTTAAGAATTATTAATAGGGACCAGCAGTTGGCTATGCCGCTGGACTCCCACGTAGTCGACCACGGTTCGCGTCCCTGACCCGGTGGCGTAAAACTCACGCCGGGCACGTGTGTGTGCGTGCCCAAGATCCCGAGAGGAGAATGGAGGAGAAGGGATTGTGGCGTGGCCATTCCTTCAGGGGGGTGATTTCTCGCTTTCTGTCTCTCTGTCTCTCTCTGTCTGTCTGGCGAGCGTACGCACCCTATCGCAAAAACCTCTCAAAAAATTATTAATTTACTTTATTATTATTACTATTTTTTAATGGGCTCTAGAGCATGAGCACTCACCAGAGAGAGAGAAAGTGAGAAAACAAGCCTCTGGTCTGGGACTCAAACTGTGGTCAGCCATGTGGGAGTCCATCACCTTAACTACCATGCCACCTGCTGGCCCTAACTTTACTATTTTGATTGATGTTGGCTTAACAGTAATTTGTCTTCTGCCTTGTTCAGAAAGGATTTAAAAATCTTACCATTTTTGTTGTAAGCTGATAACTGATGGAATTTGTCTATTAATATATGTGTATTTGTAGTCAGATAATATGATTAATTAGATATAAAATTATAAAATTTTAATTAAAAATATTTTGTTTCTTGTGAATTACAGTATTATCAATGACATTATTGGCTGTTACTGTAGTAGTGCTTACATGTCATTTCATGTTGTAGATCTTGGTAATGTTCTAACTTGTACTCCAAACGCCAAAACTGTTAATGGTAAAGCCGAAAGCAGTGATAGTGGAGCCGAGTCTGAGGAGGAAGATGCTCAAGAAGTGAAAGGAGCAGAACAAACTGATAATGGTAAATTTTGGGTAATGGGTTACTAAATTTTGCGTGAAATACTGTGAAATGGTATGAAGACATTTGACTCATTTGGAGTGGTCTAAGATGAGCGTATGTGCGTGGTTGTAGGCTGTTGATGCTATAATCAGATTTGCTGTAGACCAGAAGTGTATAGGGACAGCCAGCCTTTGGCATAAATGGCGTAGATGTTAATTGAAAGTTGACAAGAATAGGCCACTCATCTAAATGTAACGTCATGTTAGACATGTATTATTATTGTTTTTTAATAGTTACTTAATTTTATTAATTATTATTTCTTAATTTGCTATAAGCACGTGTGCTTATCAGATAGAGACAGAGAGAGAGAAAGGCAAACTGAAAAAACAAGCCACTAGGTCCAGGACTCAAGCTGTGGTCAGCCTTGTGGGAGTCTAGCACTTAAACCACCATGCCATTTGCTGGCCCCTGGACTGTATTATTTTAAGGTATTGTTTTCAATTTGAATATGCATATATTACCAAGCACAGGAAAAAAATTAAACTCTCAGTATCTTATCAAAAATAGAATGGAATCCAGAGAATAGAATACAGATAACAAATTTTGATAAAGTGGGAACAGTGGAATCATGGGGTGCTATGTTAGGGGCCTTTGTTAGTTAAGGGTATCAATGATTCATAGGAAGACTTGTTTTAGAAAGGGGAGATACAGGAACCAGCAATTGGCGTAATGGCTATGTTGCTGGACTCCCATGTAGTCGACTGTGGTTCGCATCTCAGACCCGGTGGCTTAAACTCACGCCGGGTGCATGTGCGTGCGTGCCCAAGATCCCGAAAGGAGAATGGAGGAGAAGGGATTGCGGCATGGCCACCCCCCTTGGGGGGTGATTTCTCACTTTCTGTCTGTCTCTCTCTGTCTTTCTGGCAAACGCACGTGCCCTATAGCAAAAAAATCCTCTCCCAAAAAGGGGGGGGGATAGAAAAACAAACTGCACAACTTAGTTTTGCCATTGTTTTCCAGTAAGGTATGACAGATAATACCTTCTTTTTCTTTTTTTTTAAGAGTTATGTATTTAATTGTATTCATTAATTTATTTTAATTTGACCAGAGACAGAGAGAAAGTGAGAAAGCAAGTCACCAGGTCTGGTACTTGAACCATGGTCAGCCATGTGGGAGTGTCCAGCACCTTAACCACCACGCCACCTACTGGTCCTCCAAATAATACCTTCTTTAAGGATGTTTTTTATCAGTTACAAGGACCCCCTTTGCACTGCTACATATCATAGAATGATTTGCCTATACCCAATAGAGTGTAAAGGCCTTCAGAGATAATTTGTTAAAAGAGTTTCTAGAAGATTCACAGGAAATTCAAGCAGTGTTGAAGCCAAAATAGTTCAGATGAACTTTCAGCATATAATAACCCTTTTTCAAGGAGCACCTTGTCTCTCTAATCCAAGTAGGAAACCCTTCAAAGGGGTTATGGTAGCTTGGGGATTCCTGGATATTAGAACATAGCATACAGAAGTTAACCTGTGTGACTTATATGAACCTTTCCATTTTCTCATAAAAGATAAGAAAATGATAAAGAGATCAGATGATAAAAGTGTGGAAATCATTGTCACCAATGGCTATGATAAGGGCAACTCTGATGAGGACACACAGAATGACAGTCACGCCAGCTCTTCCCTGGGTGGCAGAAGCACTGATGAAATAAAACCCACAGGTCAGAACTTGGAGCACACTGGAAAAACTGCTCTCCGCACTCACCAAGGTATTCTCCCTAAAGACTTCTTTGTCCTTTCTCATGGATAAAATATTCTTTTATAGTTTTACGATATTTTAGGTACCGTTTAAAGTTAAGAAGTTTTTATTTAGTGATATTTAGGGTTTAATAATATTAAAAGCGTTATAGCTTTGCAAGACAGTGAATCTAGGACCAGGGTTTTTTTTATTAGTAGTATATATTATATATATGTTATATATAGAGAGAGGTTTTTGCCATAGGGTGCCGGCACTCACCAGAGATGGAGAGAGACGGTGAGAGGGAAAGTGAGAAATCCCCCATGGGGATAGCCAGATTGCAATACCTTCTTCTCCATTCTCTGCCTGCGATTCTGGGCACACACACACACATGCCCGGCGTGATTTTCAAGCTGCTAGGTTCCAAACTTGAACCGCAGTCGACCATGTGGGAGTCCAGCGCCTTAACCGTCACACCACCTCTGGCTCCAGGTCTTTTATGTTTCTACTGAGACATTTATCGTGGTAGCATATGATGTTTTAAAAGAAGATCTTTGTGGCCAGCCTGTTATGTGGTATTGAGGCAGCTGGATCTGGCCTACTGTGTAGTTTGAGTTCTGGTCCTGGCGGCTTACGAAACACACTGGCTGCCTGTGTGTGTGTGTGTGTACCCAAAATTTTGAAAGGAGGAAGAAATAGAAGAGAAGTGATTGTGGTGTGACCATTTCCAATGGGACAGGGGGAGTACTTTTTCACTTTCTCTTTCTCTCTCTGGCAAGCACATGTGCACTCTGGCAAAAAATTTTCAAATCTTTTTTTTTTTTAATAATTATTTTATTTAACATTTCATTTATTTATTTAGACTTGACCAGAGAGAGACAGAAAGTGAGAAAGCAAGTTGTCAGGTCTGGGACTTGAACTGCCATCGGCCATGTGGGAGTCCAGTACCCTTAATCACCATGCCCTCCTGTCAGCCCCTCTTTTTTGTTTTAAAGAGAGATTTTTGCTATAGGGAGTGTATGCTCACCAGAGAGACAGAGCAATACAAAGAGATAGGAAGCGAGAAATCACACCCCCCTCGGGGGTAGGGGAGATGGCCACAATGCAGTCCCTTTTTCTCTGTTCTCTAGGTATCTTGGGCATGCATATACATGAACCCAATATGATTTTCCAGGTCCAGGACTCGAACTGCGGTAACCCATGTGGAAGTCTAGCCATGTAACCACTATGCCATGTGCTGACCCCAATCTCTGAGTTTTTTTACCTTTATTTCTGATGTTTCCTCTTTTTTTTTTCCCAAGAATTTATTTAGGGACTAGCAGATGGTATAATGGTTACGTCACTGGACTCCCACATAGTCAACCATGGTTTGAGTCCTAGACCCAGCAACTTAAAACACATGTCGGGGAACCAGTAGTTCGCATAATGGCTATGTTGCTGGACTCCTGTGTAGTCGACCATGGTTCACGTCCCGGACCCGGTGGCTTAAAACTCACGCTGGGCGCGTGTGCGTGTGTGCCCAAGATCCCGAGAGGAGAATGGAGGAGAAGGGATTGCAGCGTGGCCATCCCCCCTGGGGGGTGATTTCTCGCTTTCTGTCTCTCTGTCTATCTGGCAAGCGCACGCGCCCCACAGCAAAAACCTCTCTAAAAAAACAAAACAAAACAAAACACACGTCGGGTGCATGTGCATATATGCCCAAAATCCTTTGGTGGGGGGAGTGATTTCTCGCTTTCTGTCTCTCTGGCGAGTGCATGCACCCTGTAGCAAAAATCTCTCTCCCCCTTTTTTTTTTTTTAAAGAATTATTCATTTTATTTTATTTATTATTATTATTTTTAAAGTTGTTATAGGGTACATGGGCGCACCAGAGAGAGAGAGAGAATGAGAAGCAAGCTTCCAAGTCCGGGACTCAACTGTGATTGACCATGTGGGAGTCCAGCAATTAACCACAATGCCACTTGCTGGCTCTCTGATATTTGTTTTTGTTTGTTTGTTTGTGTGTTTGTGCTATAGGGCGTGTGCGCTCACCAGACAGACAGAGACAGAAAGACAGAAAGTGAGAAATCACCCCCCAGGGGAGAAGGCCACGCCGTAATCCCTTCTCCTCCGTTCTTCTGTTGGGATCTTGGGCACACACACACGCACCCGGCGTGAGTTTTAAGCCACTGGGTCCGGGACGCGAACCACGGTCGACTACATGGCCATTACGCTAACTGCTGGCCCCTCACCTGATATTTCTTTTAATCTCTGATCCTTGTTCTCTAGTCAGCAAGATAAGTATAGTCTTTTCATATCATAGGGTGCTAGGATTAGCCTATAGTTTGTAATATATAAATTACTACATTGTTGCAATTCAGTTGAGAAACTAAGATACATCATTTCTTTTTTTTTAAGAGAGAGAATTTTGCTATAGGGCTCATGTACTCACCAGAGAGAGAGACAGAAAGTGAGAAGTCACCACCCCCTGGGGGAGATGGCCATGCCGCAATCCCTTTTCCACCATTCTCCTCTCTGGATTTTGGGTGACACACGCACATGCTCAGCTTGAGTTTCCAGCTGCCGGTCTGGGACTCATAGCCATCCGCCATGTGGGAGTCCAGCGATGTAACCATCCCGCCATCTGCTGGTCCCAGTGCATCATTTCTTACTGTAGCACCAGATATGCATAATTGCATCCCACATGTAGGCATCCTAGTTGGTACTTAGCTTTGCATCCCACATGTAGGCATCCTAGTTGGTACTTAGCTTTTCCTATAAGGTTATTAAGTTTTGTAAGGTTCCATCCAAACTGTGTCTTCATAACATTCAGTGATAAAATGCTTTGTAGTATTTTCAAGTAAAAATCAGCAACTAAATTTAGAGTTTTCGTAAGTTAGAAAAAAACGCATGGTGGGGGCCAGCAGGTGGCGTGGTGGTTAAAGGCACTGGACTCCTACATGGCCAACCACAGTTTGAGTCCCAGACCTGGCAGCCTACTTTCGTACTTTCTGTCTCTCTCACTCTGCGCCTCTCTGGTCAAATTAAAATGAATAAATAACATTAAATAAAATAATTCTTAAAAAAAAAAAGCATGGCATGGTGAATCTAATTTGTCTTTTAGGATGAATATGATATAGAGCTGATACATTTTGAAAATGGGGTAAGTAAGCTTTTCTTTTATTAGACTGTAGTTATATTACCTGGATGTTTGTTCATATTTAGGTATAAATGATGATCATGTTGAAGATGTTTCAGGAATTCAGCATTTGACAAGTGATTCAGACAGTGAAGTGTACTGTGATTCTATGGAGCAATTTGGACAAGAGGAGGTAAAAAGACACTTTCTGATTGGTAAATTTTTAATGTAGCATATCGGAATTTAATGTAGAATTTGTTGGAACCGGCAGGTGGTGGTTAAGGGTGCTGGACTACCACATGGCCGACCACAGTTTGAGTCCTGGACCTGGCGGCTTGCTTTCTCATTTTTCTTCTCTTTCTTTCTCTCTCAGACACTCTGACATGGCTGATCATGGTTCAAATCTGAGACCTGGTGTCATGCCTTCTTGCTTTCCCTTTCTCTCTCTGGTCAAATTAAATACTGCTACTACTACTACCACTACTACTACTAAATGGAATTAAATAAATAAATCTTTTTAGAAAGATTCATAGTAAAATGGAATTAAAATATGAGTTTATTTTGGTGTGAAACAAGTTTGAAATCTATATGTAGTTTTTTTCATGATGCACATTTTCCATGAATTTCTTGAAGACCCTTTACACATTATTGGTATATGCTGTCATTATTGTCACACCTTTCACTTGACTGATAACTCATTTGTTCTTAGCAAGTCCTAGTTCATATCATTTGCTCGAGAAGTCTGCCCTGGCCAGGCTTCCACCCAACCCCATCGTGGGTTAGATATCTTCCTGTCTATAAGCTCCTTTAGCATCTTTTGTATACCTTTTTCCTTTTTTTCTGGAGAGGTTTTTGTTTTAATGCTATAGGGCACGTGCGCTCGCCAGAAAGAGAGAGACAGAGAGACAGAAAATGAGAAATCCCTCCCCAGGGGGATGGCCATTCTGCAGTCCCTTCTTCTTTCTCCTCTTGGGATCTTGGGCACGCATGCACATGCGCCTGGCATGGGTTTAAGCCATCCGGGGACTCGAACTGTAGTCAACTACATGGGATTCCAGCAACATAGCCATTACACTAACTGCTGGTCCCCCCTTTTCCTTTTTTTTAAAGAGATTTTTGCTTTAGGGTGCATGCACTTGCTGGAGAGACAGACAGCAAGAAATCACCCCCTGGCGGGATGACCACACTGCAGTCCCTTCTCCTCCATTCTCTTCTCTGGATTTTGGGCACGCATGCACACATACCTGGTGTGAGTTTTAAGCCTTTGGATCTGGGAATTGAACCATGTTGTCGACTACGTGGGAGTCCAGTGACATAACCATTATATCTTCTGCTGGTCCTTTTCTACCTTTTCCATAACACTTACTAAACTTTGTTGTGAATATCTTACTTCTCTGTCTCCTTTACTAAGACTCTTAACTTGTCGACAAGGATTCCAAGTCTTTCTTTGAAGTGTCTGTAGAGTTTAGCACAGTAATTAAGGTACGTGTAGAGGCTTAGATGTGCCTAGGGTGGATGACTGACACACAAGAGTAGTTCACTGCCAAAACTTCTCAACACTTGCTCATAGGAGAATTATTTTCATCGATTTCTTCTCTGCATATAGGAAGTAGAATATGAACTAACATTTTTTAGAAAAAGTATTTATAATAATAGCATAAAAACATTTTAGAAAAATAGTATTTTCTGTGTTACTATGAAAACTTGGGGTATATAAGTTTTTTGTATAGCTTTTAACCAAGTATTGTTTTAAATGTATAGTCTTTAGACTGCTTTCCATCAAACAATGGACCATTCCAATATTACCTGGGTGGTGATGCCAGTAAGCCCTTGGAAGGTTCTGGTTTTCCTGAAGACGGTCAAGTATCTCCTCCTAGACATGGCAGCACTGGGAATTTGCATGTGGTGGCAGTTGAAGGAAAAGGTGAAGTAAAACATGGAGGAGAAGATGGCAGAAATAACAGTGGAGCACCACACCGTGAAAAGCGAGGTGGAGAGAATGAGGAATTGTCTAACGTCAGAAGAGGGAGAGGTATATATTATCTTTTTTTTCTCTTCTCATTGACTATATATATATATATATATATTTGAGAGGTTTTTGTTACAGGGTGCATGTACTTGCCAGAAAGACGGAGAGACAGAAAACAAGAAATCACCGCCCCCCGCCCCCCGAGGGGGGATGGCCACGCTGCAATCCCTTCTCCTCCATTCTCCTCTGGGGATCTTGGGCATGTACACATACACACCCAGTGTGAGTTTAAGCCACTGGGTCTGGTACTCAAACCGCGGTCAACTGCGTGGGAGTCCAGTGACATAGCCATTACGCCAACTGTTGGTCCCTACTATATATTTTTTTTAAGTTTTATTTCTTATATTTCATAGAGACATGCACCCCCAACAGAGTGGTTAAGAAGAAGGTTGGAGAATGGAGATTAATCTGGTAGAATTAATAATTTTTCATGACAAAGTAGTTTTGTAAAAAAGGATTAGTTTATTTAACTTTATTTATTTTAATTTGACCACAGAGGGACAAAGTGAAAGAGGTCAAAAGAGAGAGAGAGAACAAGCTGCCAAGTCTGGGACTCAAACCATGGTCAGCCATGTGGGAATCTAGCGCCCTTAACTACCATGCCACCTGCCAGCCCCTCTTATAACAAAGTCTTAAAAGAAGAGAACAATAGGAGATTGGGTATCCTAGGGTATAGTTCACCAAACTTCTTATATCTCTAGCCTTGTACTTTCATTGTAGATAAGCAGAGTTAGAGAAAAAACTGATTTGCTTTCATACTTGATAGGAAAGACAAAGGGAAATAATTACTAGGGAATCATTGTTTCTGACTGCCAAAGGTCTTTTGCCTTCTGTTATAGAGAAAAGATCTGAAATATCTGTCATTTAAATGTATACAGTACTGACCAGGGAAGAACCCTCGGAAACAATTCCCCCTTTACCTCAGCCCCTACGTTAGCTAGTCCCAATAGAAAGATCCTACTTTAGAAACACATGCATTAATAGCAAGCTTTTTTTTAAATAATTATTTATTTTTAATTTTATTTATTAATTTACTTATTTTATTTTGACCAGAGAGAGACACAAGAGAGAGAAAGTGAGAAAGCAAGCAACCAGGTCCAGGACTTGAACCATGGGCAGCCATGGGGGAATGTCCAGCATCTTAACCACCACGCCACCTGCTGGTCCCCAATAGCAAGCTTTCAAGCTAAACTTCTGGGGAATGTGGCAATAGGGTGATGTAAATGTGGCCTGAAACCAATTATATGTGGGTAGATTGATAGCACTATTTCTGTTACACATGCGTAAGAACAGACTTAGGAACTGTGCAGAAGTTCAAGAAAAAAGTAAAAGAGAATGCAGGAAGGGATATGGATTATAGTATGCAAACAAAAGATCTGTTTTGGAAGAACACATGTCCCAGAAAACAAGACATTTTAGATAACCAGTATTTCTCATTCAAGTAAAAAGAATATAAACTCTTATGAATAGATCAAAGCAGAGATGGAAAGTCTTCGAAAATCCAAGATGGAAATTGCATTAGTAGGGGAAGATTTGGGATATGAAGTAGTATTTATAGAACTGATAAATACATTAGAAACTGAAAAGAATTGACATGGCAGAATTGCAAGTCATTTTTTTATTTAAAAAGGGTAGATCTGGGTTTTGTGGGACATGAAGCTTATGCAATTTGGGGAGAAAAAACTGATTTGCTTTCATACTTGATAGGAAAGACAAAGGGAAATAATTACTAGGGAATCATTGTTTCTGACTGCCAAAGGTCTTTTGCCTTCTGTTATAGAGAAAAGATCTGAAATATCTGTCATTTAAATGTATACAGTACTGACCAGGGAAGAACCCTCGGAAACAATTCCCCCTTTACCTCAGCCCCTACGTTAGCTAGTCCCAATAGAAAGATCCTACTTTAGAAACACATGCATTAATAGCAAGCTTTTTTTTAAATAATTATTTATTTTTAATTTTATTTATTAATTTACTTATTTTATTTTGACCAGAGAGAGACACAAGAGAGAGAAAGTGAGAAAGCAAGCAACCAGGTCCAGGACTTGAACCATGGGCAGCCATGGGGGAATGTCCAGCATCTTAACCACCACGCCACCTGCTGGTCCCCAATAGCAAGCTTTCAAGCTAAACTTCTGGGGAATGTGGCAATAGGGTGATGTAAATGTGGCCTGAAACCAATTATATGTGGGTAGATTGATAGCACTATTTCTGTTACACATGCGTAAGAACAGACTTAGGAACTGTGCAGAAGTTCAAGAAAAAAGTAAAAGAGAATGCAGGAAGGGATATGGATTATAGTATGCAAACAAAAGATCTGTTTTGGAAGAACACATGTCCCAGAAAACAAGACATTTTAGATAACCAGTATTTCTCATTCAAGTAAAAAGAATATAAACTCTTATGAATAGATCAAAGCAGAGATGGAAAGTCTTCGAAAATCCAAGATGGAAATTGCATTAGTAGGGGAAGATTTGGGATATGAAGTAGTATTTATAGAACTGATAAATACATTAGAAACTGAAAAGAATTGACATGGCAGAATTGCAAGTCATTTTTTTATTTAAAAAGGGTAGATCTGGTTTTGTGGGACATGAAGCTTATGCAATTTGGGGAGGGGGCGCTCTTTAGGAGAAGAAGTCCAAGGCTGTCCCCACAGCATAGCAGTTAAGCACTGTGCTTAGGGAGCTGGATCGCACGTGGGCCGACTGCAATTAGAATCCCAGCTCTGGCGACTTGGAAAACATGCCAGGAATATGTGTGTGCACCCCAAATCCTAATGAGATGGAAATATAGAAGATAAAGAACTGTGGTGTGACCATACCCCAGAGCTGGATACTTTCTCTTTCTCTCTCTCTCTCTCTGGTGAGCACATATGCCCACTGGCAAGAACTTAACAAAAAAAAAAGGGGGGGGGATACAAAATTATGAATGTTAAAGTGAGTATTTTGTTAAAAAATGTTTTAAAACCGTATTATATTACTAGCGCCTTGCAATCAGGTCCCTTTCTTTAGGCAATTTACCACACTTCTTTATATAAAATAATTTAGGGGCCAGCAGGTGGAATGATGATTGGGGTGCTGAACTTCCACATATGGCTGACTATGATTGGACTCCCACATGGCCTACTGTGGTTCCAGTCCTGGACCTGGTGGCTTGCTTTCTCAGTTTCACTCTCTCCGGCCATGTGGGAGTTCAAGTGCCTTCACCAGCACGCCACCTGCTGGACTCTATAATATATATTATATATATATATATATGTATGTATATATGATTCTTTAAAAAAAGAATTTACAACCTGAATTTCCCACCTTAACGTACACTGCAATAACACCTCCCAGCTATCACAAGGGCCTACTTGAAAGGCAGACCTTGAGGTTAAGCCTCCTTAGGGTCATAGTAAATCTGCCTCCGCATTTAACAAGTAGTATTGAGCACTTGTTTTTTGTCAGGTTCTCTTTGGGTCCTGGGATGCAATAGGGAACAAGACAAAGTCCTTCCTTCCAGGGAGTTTACATTCTAGTAAGCAGAGCTGACAGTGCATGAGCAAAGGTATGTGTGAAGTAGCAAGTAGTGACTAGTGCCCGGAGGAATTTAAAATGGTGAGAGGAGAGTGACTAGCAGTAGGTACCACCGTAACATGGGTGTAGTCTGACTAATGCTGTTCCTTGTGAAGGCTCATACGAAAGCTGCCTGTTCTATAGGATGAGTGAAATGAGATGAAGCAGTTCTCTAGCATTGATAGTGGTGCATAAGTTATGTTTCGAGCTTTGTGTCCTAAAAAGTAGGACATAAAATCTTAAGGATGTACAGCCAATTTTGTAAATATATGCATAGAAAAAAGAATGGAAAGTATATACCATAATCTTTTATGTATGTCTGTATGCATGTTAGAGGGCATGTGTGCTGACCAAAGAGAGAGAGAGGAAGAAAGCACCTCCAATGAGATGCACTCATGCCACAATCCCATCTCCACTTCTCCATTGGCATTTTGGGCATATGTCCACATGGGCCTCGAGTGTTCTTAAGCCACTGGGACTGGGATTTGAACTACATTGTCAGCCATGTGGGTTCCACCTCCCTCAACCAGCAGGCCATGGGGCCAGCCCCATGACATTAATAGTAGTGGAATTTCACTATCTATAAGGAATATGCAATTTGTAATAGGAAAAACACATTTTAAAACATTTTTTTGAGGGGTTGAGATAAGTAGTACAACATGATGATCTTCAAAGCAACCCTACATAGGTCTCACATGCAGATACCTGCCTGGTTAGGCTGGCATGCACTGCTCATTCACGATTCCTGGCTGGCTGAGCGCTGGGGTGGATTGCAGCGCCAGGACCCTGTTAGGGGTGCTATTTTTTCTCTCTTGCTCATGAAATGAATAAACGTGCTTTAAAAAAAAATTGGGGAAGGCTTACAATATGATCAAGCCAAAGTTGACCAAAAAGAAAAATATACCTATTTAATTTAAATTTTAAAACTATAAGCAATTTTTAAGTTTTGGTACCTTATTAGTAAATAATTTTTGAGCATGTACTCCCAATAAGCGTATTTGTGAATTATATGCATATAGTCAGTCATATCCTAGTATATTATGCATATTATAAAACCTTTAAAAAATAAGAATATGTCAATGTAAATAAAAGTTTATACATTTATTTATTTGATCCCAAGAATTTTTTTTTTTTTTTTAAGGTTTTTGCCATTAGGGCATGTGCACTTGCTAGAGAGAGGCAGAGAGAAAGTGAGAAATCATCCCCAATGTGAGGGATGGCCATGCTGCAACGCTTTCTTCATTTTCCTCTCAGGATTTTTCAGGCATGCACACACACACACACGTACCCAGTGTGATCCTTAGTCTGCCAAATGTAGGACTCAAACCATGATCAGCCATGTGAGAATCCAATGCCTTAACCCCCACATCACCTGCTGGGCCCCCAAGAATTTATTTTACGTATTTCCTGATTGCTTTTTACCTTACTGGAGATTCAAATCTCAAGGAAATAATATGAGACAATGGGAAAACACAGTATTTGTAGTTTTATAAGAATGATTCAAAACTAACTCCTTTTGCTCTCTTAAAATAGGGCATCGAATGCAACATTTGAGTGAAGGAACCAAGGGTCGGCAAGTTGGGAGTGGAGGTGATGGGGAACGCTGGGGCTCAGACAGAGGGTCGCGAGGCAGCCTCAATGAGCAGATTGCTCTAGTCCTCATGAGGTTGCAGGAGGACATGCAGAACGTCCTTCAGAGACTTCATAAACTGGAAACACTAACCGCTTCACAGGTAAGCTTTCAGATTTGTCTCGTCCAGATACTTGTTGATCCTATAAAGCAGTAGGTAATCTATATTGCTCAGACTTATACAAATCAGTGTATTTTAGTGATTTTTTTTAAAAAAAAAAAAAAAAAAAAAAGGACCTAGTATTGAAAATATTGTGTAAGGAAAGATTGTCCCTGGGGGCTGGCAGGTGTCAGTTAAGGGTGCTGGACTCCACATGGCCAACTGGGGTTCGAGTCCCAGACCTGCCAGCTTGCCTTCTCACTTTCTCTCTTTCATTCTTTCTTGCTCTCTGTCCCTCTTGTCAAATTTAAATAAATAAATAAAGTTAAATAATTCTTTAAAAAAAAAGAAAAGAAAAGACTTACCCTGGGTCAGCCTGTGGTCTGGTGGTTGGAGTGGTTGGATCCCATATGACCAGCCATGCCATTGGAATCCCAGGCCCTTGAAAAAACACGAGACGTGTGTATGTTCATGCCCAAATCTCAAAGAAGGGAGAATTGGAGGAGAAAGGACTGCAGTGTGCTCATCTCACATGGGAGCTAATTTTCCTCTCCCCTGATCTCTCTGTCTGTCTCTCTCTGGCAAGTTTATGAACCTTCTGGCAAAACAAAACAAAACAAAACAATTAAAAAGAAAAGACTGACCCAGAAGCTAAATGTAAGTTTAAAACAATAGAAACTTTTCAGAGTGTAAAATTCATTGGAAATAGGAGTTGTTTGCTTGGTATTAGAAGAGTAATTGCACGGCCATCAGATGGCATAGTGGTTATGTCACGGGACTTCCACATGGCCGACTGCGGTTGGAGTCCTGGACCTGGTGGCGTGAAACTCACTCCAGGGGTGTGTGCATACCTGCCTAAGATCCTGGGAGGAGAATGGAGAAGGGATTGTGCCACGGCCATCCTCCCTGTGGGAGTGGTTTCTTACTTTCCCTCTCATTGTCTCTGTCTCTCTCTATGTCCAGTGGATACATGTGCCCTAAGGCAAAAACCTCTTTAAAAAAAAAAAGTAATTGCTGTTGAACAATGCATTTTGAGGATCTTTTTTTTTTTTTTTGAGTGGTTTTTGCTATGGGGCACGTGCGCTCGCCAGACAGACAGAGATAGAGACAGAAAGTGAGAAATCACCTGCAATCCCTTCTCCATTCTCCTCTTGGGATCTTGGACACGCATGCACACACGCCCAGCATGAGTTTAAGCCACCGGGTCCGGGACTTGACCCGCGGTTGGCTACATGGGAGTCCAGTGACATAGCCATTACACTAAATGCTGGTCCCAAGGATCGACTTTTTTAAACAACTATTTATTAGGCCAGCAGTCAGCATGGTGGTTAAGGCAGCTGGACTCCCACATGGCTGGCTGCTGTTCAAATCCAGGACCTGGCAGCTAGCTTACTTTCTCTCTTTTCTTCTTTCTGTCTCTCTCTGATCAACTTCAAAAAAATAAAATAAGGGGCCAGCAGTTAGCATAATGGCTATGTCGCTGGACTCCTAAGTAGTCGACTGTGGTTCGAGTCCCAGACCTGGTGGCTTAAACTCACACTGGGCACGTGTGTGTGGATGCCCAAGATCCCCAGAGGAGAATGGAGGAGAAGGGATTGCGGCGTGACTATCCCCCCTAGGGGGTGATTTCTTGCTTTCTGTCTCTTGTCTTTCTGGCAAGCGCATGCACCCTATAGCAAAACCTTTTCCCCCAAAAAATAAATAAATAAAATAATGACAATGAATAAAATTAAATTTAA